TCAAAAAAAAAAAAAAAAAAAAATCAGGCAGCCCTCAAAACATTTTCTCCTGCTTTGGAGCCCCAAGTCCTTGGAAGGCACAGAAAGGGGGAAAGAGGCTCAGAGTTGTTGGGGAACTTGCCCAAGGGCACACAACCAGGCAGAAGATGACAAGCTGCATTCTGTTCCTTCTCTCCTGTATGCTGAGGGCAGAGTCCCTCAGCTTCCACCTCCCATTGCACTCCCAGCTTCCATTTGCTGTGCTGCCCATCCTTACGTTCACCAGCTTGCCCGGCCTCATGAAGGAGTTTGCCAATGGTCTGTGAGTACTCCCTATCCCAAGCACTGGACATGCATTACCACATTTGGTCCTCACAACCACCCAGGTAGGAACTATGATTATCCCTATTATCCAGATGAAGCAACTGAGGCTCAAAGAGGTTAAGAAACTTACCCAGGGTCACATAGCTAGCAAGTGGGGGAGGTAGGAATGGAATTCGGGGGTGAAGGACATTTCTAGACCCTGAGCTCCTCACTCTCACCACAGACTGCTCTTACCAAATTTCACCAGTGTGCAGCCTAGAGAGGCCAGGAGGCAAGAGGTGGGCTAGATAGAGAGTATATATGCTCCAGACCCTATAGCCCAGAGAAGCTGAGAGCCACCTTTGTGTTATCTGCCCCATTACCAGCTGTGGGCACTAGGGAAGGAGGAGGAGGCATAGATGATGTAGGTGGTCCAGCTGCATCTGGCCAGTCCTGAGCCTCTCTTGTATTCCCCAGGCTGAGCAAGGTCATCACTTCCTCCATCATGGTTCTGGTCTGTGCCATAAACCTCTACTTCGTCGTCAGCTACCTGCCCAGCCTCCCACACCCTGCCTACTTCGGCCTTGTAGCCCTCCTGGCTGCAGGTTACCTGGGCCTCACTACCTACCTGGTACTGTAGGGCCAGGGGGTGCCTTGGGGAGGCAAAGAGAGGCAACAATTGAAGAGGATATGGGGAGGGACACATAGGAAGACTTCCGTGGAGGTCTTGTCCTCTCCCCCACTCATGGCTACCCCTCCCCCAGGTCTGGACCTGTTGCATTGTCCATGGAGCCACCTTTTTGGCCCACAGCTCCCACCAACACTTCCTGTATGGACTCCCAGAAGGGAAGGAAGGAGAGACCTCTGGATGAGCCCCCAAGCAAAGCCTGGATGGAAGGTGATGCGTGAGGCAGACTGGCCTGCTGAACATGGAGAGGCAACTGAAGGCAGCAACACACAGTAGGAGAGTTCTAGAGGCAGGCCCATAGGAGTCCCTTAGACACTGTTTCCTACCTTAGAAAAGAGATTAGCTTATGGGACTCAGTGTTCTCATCTGTAAAATGGGAACAACACCAACCTTGCAATGGATGTTAAGCAGTTTAACACAATGTCTGGCACTTGGAACTAAAAAAAAAAAAAAATTGAAAAAATATGTATTGAGTACCTCTAAGAGTAGCCTGTCAGACCCACTTACTGTGGGAATGGAAAAAGGTAGGACACAGCTCCAAACTGGTACTTGAAATAGAATCTGATGAATGCTAAATAAATACTAGTTCACTTCTCATCCCAAAGAGAAGAGAATTTAAATCCGCAAAGCAGGATTTAGAAGCACCAACAAGACCCCCTACTTAAATGTCTTGTTTCCCTCCTATTCCCTGAAGCCTTTCTGTTCTGCCTGTAACCCATTTTCCAGTCATTAAAAGGAAGAGCAGTTAGTTCTCTCTTCTTCAGGGTCTAGGTGATAAGGAACACAGGAGTCCTTGCCTCCCAGGCCCAATTCATTTGCAATCACCCCAGGGGACTAGCCTGGACTCCCACGCCACGCTCCTTCTCTGCTGTCTCTCAGCTCCCCCTAGGGGCAGGGACGGTGCCCAGTTCAGGCACCCTTACCGTAGCAGGATGCACTCCTCTCGCCCGAGTGTAACGACTGGGAGAGCCCGAGGCTCGGGTCGCAAACCTCGAGCTCACCCAGAATCCTCCTAAGCTAGGAGCTGGGGGGCGGGGGGGCGGGCAGTGTGTGCGTGAGGAACCCCCTGCCGCAGGGAGCAGCCGGGTGACCCTTCGCCTGATGCGAGAGGCTGCACTTTATAGACACTCCCTAGGCTGTTTCTAGGCTCCCCCAAGTCCCTCCTCCAGTCCCTGGAACCCGGTCCTGGGAGCTGAGGAAGGCAACACAGCGAAAAGGGCTGCCGCACCTTTCCCCAGAGTTGAGCTAGGGACAAGTGTTGTACCTGGGAGTACCCCTGATTTCCCGGGACCTTGCACATCCTGGCTCCCCACTCAAGTTGGGGCACTTGTTTATGAGAAGAATTTCCTATTTCTTAAAAGGGCAACAATGCTAGTGGGGCCAGCAAAAAGATAAGGCGTGAGACAAGTCTGGTGCAACCAGGACAACTGCCGCAGAAGACACCTGGGCAAGAGAGCTGCCCACCCTCCTCTGGGCTTCGTAGTGGAAAATATAGAGCCCATGAGAGATGATGGAGCAGATGCATGGGTGGCAGTTAGTGAAGAAAGGCATCTCCCAGAACTGCCAGTTTCCAGAAATGCCCCTATTTGTACTTCCTACAAAACCATCTAGTCAATTCCCTTGGCATTAAATGGGTGTGGGTCATGTGCCGGGCCCAGTGCAACAGTTAGGGGAGGGAGCCAAAGTCCCGAATTAAAGTTGTCAGCTTTCTAGGAGCTCACACCCTAGAGGAGTATAACAGCTAAGTCAACAAGTTACTAAGTAGCAGGATGCGGTGAAGGACACTGCCAGTGAGCTGACTCCTGTACAGGATTGTGAAAGCTGAATGGGGGTGGTAGTGTGGAGGGCCAGTCTAGGGGCAATGAGTGTGCTAGGAGTAGGGGGGCTTATGTGTGCATAAGCGTTGAGGCATGAAACCAGGGAATTATTAGATCATGTGAGGTAGGACTATGGGACCCTGGAGAAATGGGCAGGCTGGTCCTGTGAACTTGGGGACAAAGAAGACACCTGAAGGCCAGCTAAGGGGCTACCCTGGGCCTGGGTGAGAGCTTAGTGATGGGGTCAGGCAAAGGTGAGACATTTTAGGCCTTTTCTTAGAGCTGCATCCACCCACCCCCCCTTAGTAGCTCTGGTCCTCTCAGCCCCAGACTGAGCTCAAATTTGACAGAGCACGACATGCTCCACTTAAGCCCCTGGGTGGGAGTGCCTGCTGAAGACATCTTCCCTTCCTGTACTGCCCTCCACCCCCTACCTCCCCAACTGGGCTTTCTGGGTTAAGTTTGGTGACTGCTGGGGTGCTAGCTGGAAAAGACAAATGCAGTAGAACCTCCATAGCTGACCACCTCCCTACATCAACTGCCTCCTTAAGTTGACCTAATTAACATAGACCGGACTTGCACCACATGTATGCATCAGTACATCCAACCAAGTTCCTTATGTTGACATTTGTTATAGCCCCTTGAGTGGTCAACTTACAGAAATTCTACTATAGATGTTCACAGTTGCCAGACAGGACCCTGCTGAGCCCCATCTCTCTCCTACCCCATTTCTCAGCCTCCATGACTTCATTCTTCCTGGGGGTACAAACCATGGAACAGATAAAAATAAACTGTGTAGGTAAGGAGACCCACAGCTCCTGGGGTAGAGAGGAATAACAGTGAGTCTGGACTCTCCCTCCCCAATCCTACCAGCCTCCCTGCAGCATGGGGAGAGAACTTAAGGGCTTCCAGGCAAGAAGGTACCTGTCTCAGCTGCCTTGGAGCCCGAGAGTGGGGAAGATCTCCCAGGGAAGAGACCTACATCAGCAAAGGCTAGAGGGACAGTAGGAATGTGGTGGGGAGGAATCCCCAAGGGATCCAGTGAGCTTAGGGTGGCAACCCTGCACTACCCAGTGTCCTATCACCGAGTCAGCTCCTCTGACCTTCACGGGGACAGCCAGCCAGATTCCAGCCCCCTTCCCCGAGCGAGAGGAAAGTGAGCCGCCCTACTCAGGCCAGAGGCAAGGCCAGTTCTCCACATAGTCCCTCGCCACACATTTCCTTTTGGGGTCAGTGTGAAGCCAGACTGAAAGGGGGACGCTCTGCCTATGCCCTTGGGTTGGGCACGTAATTTTATTTCTCGGAGGGCTTTCTTATCTATAAAATGGGATATAAGAAGGGGGTCGTTCTGAGAAGTAAATGAGATTTGGGCTTGCAGCCAGAGCAGGACATAGACGGAATGCGGCCAGCGCGTTAGCGATTAAAACAATGAAGCGCAGTGATGGCAGCCCTGGGAGCATCTCAGGAGCAGAGGCAGGACCATGGCCATGGGGTCCCACCCAGGGGGACTCAGTCAGACCCCGTTGGCGCTGCGGTTCCCAGTCTCGGGTCACGAAGTGGGCGCATATTTAGACAGGCACAACTCCCCTTCTTCCTCTCCCTTCTCCTCCCGACCGTGGCGACGCCTAGCCTCCCTCCTGCTGCCCGGCTCCCCCAGGCGGGGCCCGGCGGACGTGCGCTGCGCTAGCACCCGGCGGCCGGACGGGACAGGACGCGCCCGCCCCGCCCAGCCTGGGAGGCCCGGGGAAGGGGGGAGGAAGTGCCGAGGCGTGTTTGTTAAGGTTTGGGGTTATTATTAATTTTTAAACCGTGAACATAAAATAGTAACGACGAATGGAAGGGACTTCATAATGGGAAAATAGCAACCCGTAGACCCCGTCGGCGCACACGACTTAGGGGCATCCCCCGCGAAGAATTATACAGACCCCGCGCCAGCCAGAGTGTCTCCACAGTTCTGGATGGAGGGTGTTTAAAACCGTCTAAACAGTTGACGTCTGAGGCCCCCACGTTCAGGCTTTAGGTCGGCTGTGTGCTGGCGCCGAGATGGGCAGTTGGGAACAGAGCCAAGTCCAAGTAACCCCCCCATCCTCAGAAATCACAGAGTGCCGGCCTGCGGGGGTAGAGGAGGGGCTCTCGAAAGGCCTCTGGAGAAGGTGGCATTTCTTTGTGTTCGGTGGGATTTGGCCCCACGAAGGGAACAGCGCGTTCCAGGCGGAGGGAACAGCGCTTACGAAAGCCCTGAGACGGTCAGGCACTCGGCTTCTCTCTCCGGGAACGCTAGGTGGCTTGGGCACGGTGGGTGGACGCGCGGTGGGGCAGTTGAGAGAGGTCAGCAGGGGGCTTCCAGGAGCAGGGAGCGGGAATTTTCACACCTTACAGACCCTAGGCTACTCAGCGATGACGGTCACAGTCAAGAGCATACTTAAGTGGATTTGCACAGTTGTCTGGGGCTAGCAAAGGGTCTTCGCTCGCTCAAGATGCCCCTGCGAGGTGGCCCCTGAGACCATCATAGGGGACACAATACTCATTTTAGAAATGAAGTAGCATTAGCCGGTTTCCCCAATGAGGAAAATTAGGTCGTTAGTCGGGAGTCCTCGGAATGTGCAGAGATGGAGCCATGCCGCCCTGGGGCGCTCCCCCGCCCGAGTGCTCGGGGCGGGAGGGCGGACCTTGGCCCGGGGGCCAGGCAGCCTGGAACTGTGGGCCGGGTGCAGGGCCTGCCACGCAGCCGCAAAGACTCGGCCCAGCCGGCGGGCGGCAGGAAGGGAGGCGACGCCCCCTGGAGCGCTACAGGAACCCGGCCGGGCCCGCCTCCTAGTCCGCCCAGCCGCGCCGGCCCCAGAAGTGATGAAAGACGCGGTGGAGTCCTGGTCACGCCGAAGCCGTTGCCCTTTTAAGGGGGAGCCTTGAAACGGCGCCCGGGTTCCATGTTTGCGTCCGCCTCGCGGGGAGGAAACTCCATGTTGTAACAAAGTTTCCTCCGTGCCCCCTCCCTCCCCCTCCCCCCAGAACCTGGCTCCCCTCCCCTCCGAAGCTTGCGGGGATCCCTTCCTCCCACCCCTCCCCTCCCCCCCGCGCCCCGATTCCGGCCTGAGCCGGGGGGGAGGCCGGGCGCCCGGGCCAGAGTCCGGCCGGAGCGGAGCGCGCCCGGCCCCATGGACAGCTCGGCCGTCATTACTCAGATCAGCAAGGAGGAGGCTCGGGGCCCGCTACGGGGCAAAGGTACAGGGGCCGCGGCAGCCCAGGCACCGGGTGAAGAGAGTGGGAGGGGGCTGGAATCTCCCCCAGGGAAGCCGCCTCTGCTGCCCGAGGCGCCCGCCTCGGCCGGGCCCGAAGCTCCCAGCCGGAGAGAGCCGGGAGTTTGAACTCGAAGGAGGTTCTGAGACACGGGGCGGGGCCTGGTGACTTTGGGGCGCTCCAGCCTACCCTAGATGGGGAAACTGAGGCAGAGGTAAAAAGAGAGGAGCTCTTCGGGGGCTCCAGAACTAGCAGCGCTTGGCGCATGGGCGACTCTCCCTCCCCCTTATTGGCGCCAATGAAGACAGGAGTTGGGGGGGGGGTGGCGCCTTCAGAACACCCGCTGAGACTCCGTTTACCCTAAACTCTGGACTGTGGTCAGATAGGGTCTTGGGAGGGGGTGCCGAGGTGACAGCGGGCTGGGGAGGCTTGGAGGAATCTCCCGCCAAGATACATCCACGTTCCCACAAAAGTTCCCGGTCACGCGTGGAGTTGCCGAGCCCCTCAGAGGCACACAGAGAGAAGGGCCAGTACTTCCAAGAGTACTGCGCGTTAGGAGAGGAGGGGAGAGCAGTGCGCCCAGCTGGACATTCGGCGCCCCTGCTGCAGCCCCGTGGGCGCCAGGCCTGTGTACACACACACGCGCGCGCGCGCGCGCGCGCGCCAGCGAAGCCGCACCGCCTGCCAAGGTTGCGCTCTGAAGACCTGGCTGGGGTGGGGGTCTGCCCTTTCTCTGCCCTGTGTGAACCTCAGGGTCTGGAAATTCCCCCCAGGTCTGCCCACCTCCCGCCTGGGCCTTGCTCCCCCCACCCCCAGCAGGGGGCAGAGATGGGAAGGCAAATGGAGGGTGGGCCCGTCAATCACTCTGCTGCTCCCTGGTCGTAGGTCTGGGCAGGATTGGGGAGGTAGGGCGGACAGATGGCCGCTGGACACTGGCCTGAGGCCGGAGACTGCACCCCCTGCCTGTGAGCCCAGCCTCACTGAGGACTTTGGACCCACGGGGGTAGACAGCAGGCACAGAGGGTAGGAGTGGCGAACCAGTCCTGGGCTCCCTTGAGGGCCTGCTCAGGTAAGGTGGGGGCAGGATGTGGCCCAGTGGGGCTGACCCATTAGCAGTAATGGAGGCAGTGAGAAATAGAGGGAGCACTGTTGGCAGCCACTTCTCCAGACAACCTACTCCTTATACAAGACCCACTCCAGGAGGGAGCTACAGGGAACTGGAGCAAAGACCCCTGGCAGGGGCATTTCAGGGAAAGCCAGGAGCTGCTTCAATGTGTCTTCCTTGGTGAAGGGGGCATGGCCTGAGCCTCTTTGCTTAGGGATTTGCACCTGGGCACATATGCACCCTTCTGTAGGCGGGTGTGCATACTACCCCCAACTTGGGCCTCCCTGCTTCAGGTGACCAGAAGTCAACAGCTGCCCAGAAGCCCCGCAGCCGGGGCATTCTCCACTCACTCTTCTGCTGTGTCTGTCGTGACGATGGGGAGGCCCTGCCCGCCCACAGCGGGGCACCTCTGCTCGTGGAGGAGAATGGTGCCATCCCCAAGGTGTGTGTTACCTAAGTGAGGATGGTAGGGGCACCTAAGCTCAGCCTGGGGGTGAGAGAGGGCTTAGGGGAAGGAGCTCCTGACCAAGCTTTTCATGATAAGTCTGCAGACCCTGGAAGGTATGAGAAGGGTAGTAACCCCCACTCTGACCCTGCCAAGCTCGATCCACTGGCCTCTTGTCTGCCCCAAGATTGCACTTCATAGGTGGAAGCTTTTCTCTTGCTTTTTCAGGTGGGAAAATGAGGCCCATAGAACCAGGCTCCAAAGTTGGCAGGGCAGAGCCAGGGGGAGGATGGTGTCTCCCCACCATCCCCAGGTAGAGGGCTGGGGGAGGGAAGCCTGGGTAGGAGAGATGACTGGGCCCCACCCCTCCCCTCAGCAGACCCCAGTCCAGTATCTACTCCCCGAGGCCAAGGCCCAGGACTCAGACAAGATCTGCGTGGTCATTGACCTGGACGAGACCCTGGTGCACAGCTCCTTCAAGGTGGGCCCTGCCCAGCCACCCTTCGCCTGGGTCTCTGAGGGGACCTGCCCTGGCCTAGGAGGGAGGTTCTCTGCTGGGCACTTCACCCACACACACTGTGGCTCCCTGCTCCACCACTAGCAGTTCTTTTCCGCCCACAGCCAGTGAACAACGCCGACTTCATCATCCCTGTGGAGATTGATGGGGTGGTCCACCAGGTGAGGGGCAGGAGGAGGAGGTGGTGGGCTTGGCATCTGCCTTCCAGACCACAGGCTCTTCCCACCAATCTGGAGACTCCCAAATGGGAATTTGATAGATGTGGGATGTTAGAGGCCTGAAGAGGGTATGAGACTATCCTAGGGTCACACAGAACCTCAGGAACTTAGCACAGCTCTAGGCCTAAAGAGAGTGAGTTCCTCCTCTGGCCCCCTTGCCATGCCCCCTTGCCCCACCCTGCCCGGGACCCAGTTCAAGTAATCCAGGATAGGTTGTGTGCTGTCCAGCCTGTTCTCCATTACTTGGCTCGGGGACCGGTGCCCTGCAGCCTTGGGGTAAGGGGGCTGCCCCCAGGCTCCTGCACTTGGCTGAGGCTGAGGGAGGAGGGACTGGGAATTAGTGACTCCTGTGTAGGGGGACCTGAAGCCTGTGGAATCAGAAGTTCCTTTTGATCCTTTCCTCAGAGGGTGGGTGGCTTACCTGGCAGGTCAGTCCCTCTCCTGTGTTCCTCTGCCACCTATACACTCCTAGCCCTCAGCCACTCCCCACCCCCACTGGGCCTGTGGGCCAGCAGTCCCCTCACTGGCCCACCCCCTAGGTCTACGTGCTGAAGCGGCCTCATGTGGATGAGTTCCTGCAGCGAATGGGCGAGCTCTTTGAATGTGTGCTGTTCACTGCCAGCCTGGCCAAGGTGAGCCCCCACCTGCCTTCCCATCGCCTCCAGCCTTCAGCCGGATGGACTTCTGGGCTACCCTCAGCCCCAGGATGACCCACCTCCCACCCCCAGTATGCAGACCCAGTAGCTGACCTGCTGGATAAGTGGGGGGCCTTCCGAGCCCGACTGTTTCGAGAATCCTGTGTCTTCCACCGGGGGAACTATGTGAAAGACCTGAGCCGACTGGGCCGAGACCTGCGGCGGGTGCTTATCCTGGACAACTCGCCTGCCTCCTATGTCTTCCATCCAGACAATGCCGTGAGTACAGGCTGGGCCAGGACAGGAGTCTGAGACCCAGGAATGGGGTTAGTTTGTTCAGGCCACTGTGGCCTCCTTAGTGTGAAGTTGGAAGCTCATGTTCTCCTAGTCCCTTTCCCTGCACCCAATTGGCTGTGCCTGATACCCACTTGTCCCCCTGCTCCTGCCACTGCAGCAATTCAGCCCATTCCACATGTGTACAGCAGAATGCCTGCCACAGGTGACAGGTTCTGCTGGGCAGCAGAGCAGTTTCAACTTATTAAACTGCCAGTTGTGACCTACTGACAGCCCACAGAATTTAGTGGGTCCTAATTGGGATTTTAACAAAATGAAACAGAATAGAAAATAGAGTAAGGTTAATACAGTAAGGTCAGAAGTGTTTCATGAAACTTTAGCTTTGATAAATATACAGATATGCTTTACTGGGGGTTGCTGTCAAAAAAGTTTGAATACTTGGGGATTCAGGAGTTTTTAGAAGGTACCTGACCTAAGTAGTGGGTGCATGTGGCTGACCTGGGCCACCTGCTCCCCTCACCTCTGTACTCATCTCCCCAGGTACCAGTGGCCTCATGGTTTGACAACATGAGTGACACAGAACTCCACGACCTCCTCCCCTTCTTTGAGCAACTCAGCCGCGTGGATGACGTGTACTCAGTGCTCAGGCAGCCTCGTCCTGGGAGCTAGTGAGGACAATGGGGCCAGGAACTGCCCCTGACCGACACCCACACCTCCTCCCACACAGACTCTGCACAGGAGTGTTCTTCGTTGAGGAAACCCATGGGCCGCTGCCATGCTCAGTGCCATGGGGAAGAAGGCATCTCCCCTGCCAGCTGCACCAGGCTGTGTAGGGGCAGCAGCTGCACCAAGGACAATGAGTCCCTGGGCCCCTGTGTCAGTGCCTTCAAACCTCCTCCCCACTTCTCGGGGGGGATTGGGGGACCCTTTCCGTCACTCCCCCTTTCTGTCTCCTCTCTCCATGCTGCCATGTTTCTCTGCTGCCAAATTGGGCCCCTTGGCCCCTTCCAGTTCTGCTTTGAGGGGCAGGGTTTCTTCTGCCCCCTGCCTTGGACCTCCGGCCTGGGAACAGTGGACACCAAGTGCCTTTCATAGAGCCCCCTTTTCCCCATTCAGCTTTCCCAGGGTCATATCCAGGTCAGCTCTAGACTGGTGGGGCAGAACCAGTCCCCATCCCACCTCCTTCCTTGGGACTTGGGAGCCCCCACCAATCTCTGCCTCTGCTTAGAGGGGACAGAAGGTTTGTTACCACTGGTGAAGGGAGCTGGGGTCTGTCACTCAGGCCCTGTAGTCTAGCTTCTTTAGGGCTGGCTGCTCCCTGCATCACCCAAGTCCCAGCCCCTTACTTCTGCCTTAACTACCCCAAGGCCCTGGGGTTTAGCTCCCCCTAAGTGTGGGGGCATAGGCAGGACCCCTTGTGGTGCCATATAAATATGTATATGTGTATATAGATTTTTAGGGGAAGGAGCGAGGGAAGGGTCAGTGTAGATACCCTTCCTTCACCCCTTTCCTGGGCCCAGAAGTTGGGGGGAGGGAGGGAAAGGATTTTTACATTTTTTAAAGCGCTGTTTTCTGAATGGAACAAGCTGGGCCAAGGGGCCCCAGGCCCTGTCCTCTGTCCCTCACACCCCCTTTGCTCCATTCATTCAAAAAGCATTTATTGAGCACCTTCTGTGCCCAGCACTACGCTAGGCCCACCAGCTAAGTGTGTGAAGGTCTCTGCCACCTAATGGTGCCTCCCCACCCGCCCAACTTCACTGGTGCCTTTGAGGGAGCTGCAGGAGGTGGGACCTAACTGGGGTTTAGGGGTCTCTAGGAAGCCTAGCCAAGCTGTCCCTCACCCCCCTCCCTGCTACCCCTCTCCCTATAATCCCCTGTCTTGCCCCCTGCTGGCTGGGGGCAGTTCCCACTCTGAAACCCTCATGCATGCTGAGTCCGGAGGTCAAGGCCTTGGGCTCTTCCCACAGAGTCTAACGGTTAAGGGGACCCATATACCAGTGCCAAGGGGGATGTCAAGTGGAAATGTAGCCTTCCCCACCCCAGCTCAGGGTGCAGGAGGGATATGGTTGACTTGAATTGGGTGACCTTCCCATCTAAGTGCCTTCTCTGAGAGCCCCACTGTGTGATGAGAACTAAAGAGAAAGCCAGACCCCCATCCTGCTTCTGTGGTTATTGGGGTGGGGCTTGAAGAGGGGTGAGTGGGTGGGTGTCTTACTTCTATGACTGCAGTGTGGCTCCGCTTTACAAGCGTTTGCAGGGGTTGGTGATGTAGGGAAGGGCTGTCCCAGGGCCCTGGAGGAAATGTGAGGCCAGAGCTCTGAATTGGATCTGCGTGTGCTGCCAAGCTGTATTCATTACCTCCTTTAGCCTCAGTGATGTGATCTGCAAAATGGAGATGAGCTGTATGTGCACAGCT